TTTAATTTTTTTACTAACACTTATTTTCATTATTTATTTAATATTTTCATTGCTTATTTTAATTATTTTACTAACACTTAATTTAATTATTTATTTTTAATTAATGTTTAATTACTTTTTTTAATTCTTTATGCATATTGCTTATTTAATATTTACAAATTTATTTTAATTGATTTGCAGAAATTTAATTTGATTGATATTTTAATTTTCTAATTTAATTACTTATTTATTATTTTACAGATGTTTAAATATTTATTTAAGTTCTTTATGTTTACTTATTTAATATTTAATTATATCTTTTAATTTTTTTACTATTACTTAACATAAAATAAGTAATTAAAACTAAATTGGCAAATCATAAATCTTTAGATAAATAATAAAACATTTATATTAAGCATTTCAAAGAAATAATTTTAAATACATAATATACATTAAAATTAAACAATTCAAATAATAATTAAATATTAGACAACACAATATAAGAATTAAAATAAATAGTTAACTTAAAAAATTAAAGGAAATAAATAAATAAGCAATTTAAAAAAAAATTTGGGCCTCTGGCAGTCGACCCAGATGACTGGACCGTCTGGGCGCCCAGGCTACCCAGTTGACTGGGTAGTCTGGGTTGACTGGCCCAGACGGCCCAGTTGACCCAGACGGCCCAGTCAACTGGCGCCCAGACGACCCAGTCAACTGGGCCGTCTGGGTGAGTCTGGGTCATCTGGGCATGCCTAATCGGTCCAGTCAACTGGGCTTACGTCTTCTTTGTGGAGATCGTCGGAAAACTCCATTTTCGGCGATCTCTACTCCATTTTCCTCCTCCCAAACTATTATTCTTACCCAAAAATCATGCATTTTTCCAAAAATCAACACATGTATATAAAATCATGTTTTTTTTTTCCGAAAATCAACATAAAAACTTTAAATATGGGTCGTCTATTTTTCCTTTTTTATCAGTGCTACAGTAATTTTTCTCTTTCCTTACTATCTTCTCTTTCTTTTTTAAATAGTAAGGGTAAATTTGGATTTCTCTTGATTTTCAATATTTTAAACATTTTGCTTTTTTTTTTTTTAATTGGTCAAAGGCCTCTTTGGAAAACTGGCCGGGTCAACCGGCTGTTGGCCACTAATTCCTCGCCTTTTCATGGAGATACGGCCGACAACAGGACCAGTATTCAAAAATTGAATTGCCGCACACCTAGATTCCAACCATTATCCAATAATTAAGATAGCAAGGCTAGGCAGATTAAACGTAATTTAGTTCCTACGCTCCCACTAATTCGAAGAACTTTAATATCTTCTCTAGCGTTTTCATCAACCTCATTATCATCTCCAATCGCTCATTCTCTCTCAAGATTCACCTTCATGGATTCTTGTGCGCCCAACAATTTTGGGGCTTCACAAAAGCTTGTGGCTTTAGCTCAACAGCTGCGCCAATACAAGCCACCTCCAATACCATTTGATGATGATAACAAGGAACAAAAATTGGAGGAGAGTGCAGGGAAATTGGTTTCCCAATTGGGTTTTGCTGAATCTGTAACCCCCGTTGCTCAACAGCCACCTGAGAGGTTCAGACCTAAGAGAGCTGCAGTCCTCATCTGCCTCTTTGAAGGGGATTCTGGAGAGTTTAGAGTCATTCTCACTAAGAGATCGTCAAAGCTTTCCACTCATTCTGGTTAAATTATTTGATATTTATTTTGTTTTATAGATTATTTATATTATGTTTGATTTTAGGTGGATATTGTTTTTATAATTTATGTGTTTGGTTGGTTATGAGAAGTATCTTGGTTGTGTATGTTGGGTGATTTAAGCAATTTGTGAATGGGTTTTGGTGAATTTAATGTTTGTAATGATCATGATCATTAAGAACGTGTTTATGCAATTACCTTTGTGGGTTCTGATCAATTCAGTAAAAAGTTGGTGTTTCTATTTTTTTTTTTTCACCTTTCTTGTAACCGAGTATCATCTTCACATTTCACACAAATAAAGAGAATACACACACTTGTATCTACACCATGATTGTATTGGCATTTGAACAAGCGCTGCCAGATCATGAAGGGTATAAATTTTCAAATATGATGGGATAGGCGGAGTCTGGAGGGATGGAAGTCGAAAGATTGTTATTGGTTCAAGAATGCAGGTCTCTACTCGAGCAGTCAAAGAGTTTTATCCAAGAGACATCAAACTTTTTTGTTCCATGTCTTAAGACTTTGATTTCTTTACTCTCAGGAACTGGATGCTTATTGTTTACATTAATGAATCATGTTCAATAATGATGGGGTATTGATTTTTATAGTTTATTTAACTAATATAAGGAGTTGGTATATAAGCGACCATATCTGTTTACCATCTCAGCTTGTATTGGTTTTGCTTCATTCATGATAAACTGTTCCGTTAATAAAGGTCTTCTATGGATTTCAACTGAAAAACATGCTTAATGCAGGTGAAGTTTCATTGCCTGGAGGTAAGGCAGATGAGGCAGATGCCAATGATGCTGAGACAGCAACTAGGGAAGCAAAAGAAGAAATCGGGTTGGATCCTTCCCTTGTAAATGTTGTCACTTGTCTTGAACCATTCTTGTCAAAGGTATATTAATCTTCATTTGGGTAAAACTGTGGATCTTTTACCTGTAGAGAAAACTTGATGTCTGAATAATGATGTTGTTTCGGAACAAAATGTCTTCGAAGATGTTTAAACAGTTTCTTTTGGGTGAGAAATTTAGCACAATCGTTTACTTTTATGCCTATTGATAAAATCAAGATGTTTCTTACAACTGAGACTCCCATGCATTGGCTTCTTCAAGGATTTTTCCATGACTTCTAATGATTTTGCCTAACCCGAAGTGTTGTTTTATGAAAACAAAATAAGAGACGTAATGCAGTTTTAACGCTAAAATACAACGATAACCCTTTTCCCCTCTTTTTGGTTTGTTCTCTCTTTTGTGTAAGTAATCAATATTTGATAAATAAGTTCCACTTGGGTATACTAGTGTATATTGAGTTGCGTTGCTTTGAGAGCTTGGTGGTTTTGACCACATATTGCCAACCTAGAAAGGAACAGAGACAAACTGCTCCACTTCGTAAATAATATATTTACAGCTAACAAGCACAATAAAGATTAAATTTGAGAAACTCTAGATATACTTTATGGCTTAAGGTTTATATGGACTGACAATTAAATCTAAATAATTTTGCAGCATCTCCTTAGAGTAATCCCTGTTATTGGCATACTGTCCAACAAGAAGGACTTCAATCCCTCTCCGAATGCTGCTGAAGTAGAAGCTGTATTTGATGCTCCCTTGGAAATGTTTCTCAAGGTAATATCAGTACATTTCAAAATTTGTTTTCCTTTATTTGAATTATTTTACCTACATCTGCAATAATCTCAAGATAAATGCCTTGTGTCTTTTCCAGGATGAAAATCGAAGATCAGAAGAAAGAGAGTGGATGGGCGAGAAGTATCTGATCCATTTTTTTGACTATGAAATGAACGATGAAAAGTACCAGATATGGGGTTTAACTGCCGGAGTTTTGATTAGGGCAGCATCAATTGTGTATCAGAAGCCACCTGCTTTCCTAGAGCAAAATCCCAAAACCAAAGTTCCTAGGGTCGTGAAGAAAGATACTAAAATGCCTTAATTTAGACCAAAACCTGTTCCATTATAACCACTTTTCTTAGCTCCTATATGCTGGATACTCCTGCTCAGCTTATGCAAGTTATATGTTTTCTTGGTAGATAATTTCATATTGTTAAAACCAAAATTAAATTCTAAAAAAGTAAAAACCTTCCAGGTTAGGTGTCTCAAATCTTCTGCTAACCATTTCCAAACAAAATGTGCATTTCTAAGACTTCATATGAGCTGGAGATGAGGGAATAATTATGAGTGCTTACTCCTTGGACCCCATTGAATCAGTGGATATTGTCTATACCTCTATGTGGTTGTGTGTAAGTTCTTCTTGATTACTCTTATTTCTTTCTGAAACGGATATTACCCTTTTTATGGAGTTCCATGGACTGCATAATTTTCACTATAAGGTTTGAGTGAGTTACAGGTGAAGTGATTTGAGCTACTAATGGAAACGTGTTTTAACGGTTTGAGGGAAAGAACTCATTCTCAATAATAGAAGGGTCTCCACTGCTTCAATTCTTCCTGAAGTGGAGCAGCAGAAGAATTGAAATGTTTCTGATCTTGGGGCAGAACAGGTATTTGTTCTGGATGTATTATTTATTGTATTCTTGTGACTGGTATAGAACTTTGTACTCTAAAACTGTGGAATGTTGAAATTTTAAAGTTTGAGAAGAAGCCAGTTTCTGTAAATGCATTGGTTTTAAATCAGTTTTAACTGATTCATGGATGTTATGTTTTATCAATTTAAATCTCATGAACAGAAATGATGTATTAGTGAACTTTAATGTTGGGTTAAATGTAAGCCCCACCCCACCCAAACAAACAAACAAACAAATAAATAACTAATCTATTTGTACAATATTTTTGTACAACATTGTTGACAATGTTGGTTGTGACAAAAAAGTGTTAATTGAAAAGATTAAGTGTTTTTTAAACTGTCTAATGACAACATGTCATGTTGCATGTTGTCAACAATATTGTTAAAATCATTGTAAATCAAGCATTGTTCAATAAATAAATAAATAAATCATAGAATAGAATTTTATTATTCTAGATGCTATATTTTATATTTTGGAATATTGGTGGACTAAAGTGATATGTGTTAATTCAATTTTTAATTGAGCCAAATATTTAGATATTAATAAAGCGATGAAAAATATACCAATATGCGGCTCATTAGATATCTCGTATTTAATTATGTATATTAGACTCGAGAAAAAGTTAATTTGAATAAACGAAGCCTAAGGTATTGAAGTTTAAAGAAATTGTTATTAATTGGTTTTGATTTAAATCAAATATTGCGCTTGAAATGGGTAGGCGTCCACGTGTAGAGTTAGATAGAGATAAGGTAATATTGTTTTTTTGTTAAATGGATAATGATAGGACGTCAAAGAGACGAGTCGGCTCGCGAGTTGAAACTCGAGACTCGAGCTCGGTTCGAATAAAATGGTGCGAGCTTTTCTTTAGGTCCAAGTTGAGTCGAGTTTTTGCTGGACCAAAAAATCTAAGCTTGACCTGAGCTTTCGACTTGGACCTTTCTGAGCCGAGTCAAGTCGAGCAAGCTCTTTTTTTTTTTTAATTTATTTATAAACTACTGCCTTTTAAAGGGCAGCAGCTGGCTGCCTTAAAAAGGCAACACAAAATGCTGCCTTTTCCTTTTTTTAGTCATCGGTCGAGTTTTTTTTTGGGTTGAGTCACGAGCTGTTCGAGACGGCGAGCTAAATTGACATTCCTAGATAATGATGAAGTGGAATATTTTTTAGAGTAACATTTGCATGGTGAAGGTTCAATTGTCTTTTAACTTAAATACTATGCATTTATTTCTTTATTTACACTTGCATACATGACACAGAGGCATAGGCAGAAAAGAAGATTTGGAATGTGACTTTGCATTTGTTTTTCAAATTATTTAATCTAATAGGATAATGAGGTACAGTTGACTTTATTCCTTTTAAATTATTTTTTTCATTCTAAATTATTATGTTGATGAAAGTTAAAGACATAATATGATATATATGTTAAGGTCATTCGGTACTAGAGATATGATATTTATTGAGCTCTTGTCGATTTTTAAAGATATGACGATAGCATGATATTTTGACACGTTTAAATTTTTTATTCGGGATTGTACTATTATTTCATATTCTATTGATCATTCTCACGTACTCACAATTTTTCCCTACTCTTCACAAATTAGAAGGATCGTGCCAGGCGAGTGATAAGGTGCACTCATGGTGCTAGGATTTTTGGGAATCTATAAAATAATTCGGTGTGAATCTGGAACGATGATTATGTTTCTTACTTTTAAATATTATGTTATTGTTAATTATTACGCACTTAATGTTCAATGGAGTAAATTAGTTTTGAGTTTGAGCTGTATATCAATTAGGTGATAAATATGATAAATAAAATGATTAAAGAATATAGAAAAATTACTAGTCAATTTTTGTGTAAACTATTCATACATAAAGTCCATTAAGAATTAAATTATTAAGATTTTTTTTTTTTTTGGTGAGTTGAATATATATAAAATTCAGGTCGTTTCAATTTGGTATCAGAGTATAGCCTAATTTTTTGTAAACTCCAAATATATTTTCATAATTTGAGTTTTGTTAAAAAAAATTTAAAAAATGAAGAGATGTGAACAGTGACAAGCATTGTTCCCAATGAATAGTGGGAAAAAAATAATTTTAAATGGAGGATTAAAAAAATGAAAAATTTACGTGAATGTCAGTGTTCACATGAACAGTCACATGTTCGCGTGCACAGTGCACGTGAACTGTTCACGTGAACAAAGAAATTAGATATATTTTTTTAAATAATGATTTTAAGTGATAAAAAAAAAAAATTTCTTAGATAAATGGAGAATGAATAATGGTTGTATGGATTGATTTAAAATAACTAATCTTGAAAAACAAAAAACAATGTCTTTATCTCTGTCTAATCCAATGTTAGCCATGGTGTAAAAATCCCTTTTGTTTGCCACAAGATTTTCTTTTATAACTAACAATAATTGTTGATTAAGTTATTTAATAAGGAAGATTATAGGAAAAATAAATGAAAGAAAAAGTTGGAGACTGGTAGCTTGCAATAGGATTTAGTTGTTATACAGAATTTTGCAAGTACATCAAAAGTTTTCCTAAAAAAAGATATAAAATAATTCTGAAAATGATAGTTTATTAAAAATATATATTTTAAAAAAATGATTTTAAATGATAACTTATACAAAAAAAAAAAGAAAAAAAGAAAAAAGAAAAAGAAAAGAGAAGACAATGTAATAGTAATATTGAACTTTCATGTTTTAAATTTTACGTGTAATAGATATTTATATATTTAGCCGTTTTCTTTGCGTAATGTTTTTTAAAAATTAATAATTTTCTTAAGATATATGAATTTAAGGATAATGCAAATTTAAAGTTCTTAAATATGTAAGGATGTGGAATATTTTTGACACTCGACGGCCACTAATCGACCACCCTCTGACGACTTTAAGGTATGTAAAAGAGTAAGAAAATGAATTTATTCAATCTTTTTGTATAACTTAAATCCTTTAAATTGCCACTTTTAAATTTTTAAACATGCACGTTTATTTTCTCGCTAAATTTATGATATGTTTACGATAATATAGGTATAATATGTCGGATTTAGTATTGATATGTGATGGGTGACTTAATATTAATTTTTTTAGAAAATGGCCCCACCTATCCACACAAATTTTAGGAAATGACATCACTTGCGGATTAGGCTTCAAATATTTCTAGGAGAATTATTTAACCTCTATTTGAGCCCCACAAAAAAACTTATATTTTCCAAACTCATTTTTAATTATATATTTTTCAATAAAATAATTTTACATGTAAACTGAATTTCTCCTACGCTTAATAAGAAATATAGTCAATTGTATTATGGCAAAATCTTGATTATGTGAAATCAAATGAGTATCTTGTGAATCTACTAACTAAACGCTTAACAAGAGATCAAGTATACTACTTATTGATGGGAATGGATTTGAAACCTGTTACGTAAAGATATTTGTACTGGTATCTTGATGGCTAGAGATTCTAAGAATGTGGTTTAATAAAAAAACTAAGTTATGAAAATTCATTAAAGTTAGTTGTAAATATGTTGAAATTATTGGAATCTTTTCATTAAATTGTGTCTTTTGAGACAACTTTTGAATCATTATATATAGATTCAAACGTTTGGAACTTCGTTGATTTGACATTGTTCTCCACAATATTTTGTGTCCTGCATGTTATTCTTAAACTTGTATTTAGCACATTTTATGTCGATTGTTCATTTAAGATAGTTCAAATCACTAGTAGGTTTGCTAGTTTACGTAATTTAGAGTGTTACTCTTATAGGATGTGATCGTTGTATATTAGATGATAAGTGTAGAGAAATTATTAGCACGTGTGTGGAACATAGTCGTCTCTATATTAAAACTCTTTACTTTAAAATATGAGAACTCTAATGGAATTTCCATAAAGTCATAATAATAATGGGTACATACTAGGACTGATAAACAAAACTACAGTACAATCTTCGTGGAAAATAAAGTGCATTGCAATGGAAAATCAAATAAATATAATACGACTATTCCCTATAATTCTAATACATTGCAAATTCAGTACCTAAGACCATCCAAAAACGGAGGTAAGAACATAAACTAAAGCTAGAGAAATCGGGTACAACAGTAGCACCATGTAACTTGTCCAACGAGGAAATGTCGTACAGAAGCTTGTGAATAAGGTCATCACGATGCACACAACGAGAAGAACTATGACTTCAGCTGAGACGTCTGATGTTAAATTGCGAAAATACACTGGGGCGAGGAACACGATTAGACCTATAACGTTGTTCATGTACACCGCACCATATAGCTGTTACGAAAGGAGAGCCTAAGTTAGTAATTTTCCGAAATCTTTAACATCTTAAGCTTCTAGATAGGTGATTCAACGTCGGTTAAATGGAAATTATACATACCGAGGATAGTGTTAATGAAATGCTTTTCTGTGTCATCTGTCTTGCTGAAGCAATTGATGCAACTGCAACTCTGGAGTTCATGGCAAGTGGTAAAGCCAAATACGAGACAGCGAATGAAGACAAATTCACAGTTTGAGAAAACGTCACAACGCTTTGAACGAGAGGTTCGGCAAGTACGAGCAACATGACAGTCCCGGCTATCAAGAAAAAAGAAGCCCTAAACAATTTTACCCAAATATTACTAGGCTTTGTGCCCGGATTTGCAGTCGGGGTTGTGCTCGAGGTTGTATTATTAGGCAACAGACTCTGCTTTGCATCACTGGTGTTCTGCATTTCGATATTAATAAATCATTAGAGGGACTAACTAAAAGAATGTAACTTTTTTTTTTTTTGAAAAGTGACTTTACCTTAGTGTTACTAGTCACTGCATTTTGAAGTTTAGGACCTCGAGTCGTATTGGATAAGTCATTAACTAATTTTGTCATCTTAGTGACAAATTCGTCCAGGTTAATACTAGCATCACCAGTCATATCGAAAGATTCCATGATGTCCTCCACATCTTTATCTGTACTCAAATCATTGTCCGACCTCAATCCTAAGAACAAAACTCTGAGCTCTGTTGCTGATACTGATCCATTATTATTCTTGTCGACTTTATTGAACAGCCTATTATTTGAAAAAATAAAATAAAATAAAATCAGCGTTCTAATAAGTGTATATAGATATAAAGATCTAGAGC